GAATTCTGGGAGTTGAAGTCCACCCATCTTCAAGCTGCCAAGGTTGAGAAACACTGCTCTGTGGTGTTAAACTACAAATTTCCGCTAGTTTTAATAGTCTGACCAACTTCCTCTTGAAATCTAGCCACTAATGCAGAGGGAAAGTAGGCTAAAAGCTTGCTAATGAATGACTGCTATACTTAAAACTTTGACTATGCTCAGGAGCTCTATGCTAACCCTCTTATTAATATTCAAATCGCTTAAATCCTTCCACGCTATCACAGCGGAGTTAGTGCATCCCAAAATACTTCGTTAAAAGCCCATGGTACTCCATTTTCACGTGCACAGCTCAAAGGCATCTCTCTTTTTTCTCTTCCTCTTTCCTAATGTCCATTTTTTGGCAGCTGTACATTCACCACTGAGAAGTTATTGCATTAATGATACTGATCTTTGTTGCCACAGAAATATCCTTTTCTGTGATCCATCCTATTCATGATCTTGTCTAAAATTTTGGTTGTCCTACCAACAAAATTCCCTTTACTTCTCCAGCATCTGTGTATTCTTGAGCTGAGGGTACCAAAAGCATCTGCCATTTCCATTTTTGGTGGTCCACTGAGCACTCACCGACCACGCTGGTTGACATTTGTCTTCTTAATATTTAACATTAACTTGCATGTCTTGTTTTCCCTCTTAACTGTCATTATGAGTAGTTCCAGGTCTTCTTGACTTTCGTCCAACAAAGTTGTATTCAGTGGAGTCTGCAAGGGGTGTGTGTGTCAGACCCACAGAAGCTGTGCTATGCTGGCAGGACACCCTCCTTCCTCTTCTGGACAGGTGTTGCAATGTTGCTTTCGTGGCTCTGATGAAAGCAACAAAAAGTTGGGGGCATTGCTGGGGCCATTGTTCACTGCAAAGGTTCCTCAGAAAAATCATCAGGTTTTCTTATGCATCCGTTTGCTTTACTGTATTCTACATTCTAGCCTGATCTACACGGTCTAATGTCCAGTGTTTCTCAACCTCAGCAACTTTAAGATGTATGGACTTCTCTTCTCTTCTCTTCTCTTCTCTTCTCTTCTCTTCTCTTCTCTTCTCTTCTCTTCTCTTCTCTTCTCTTCTCT